TTATTAAATATTTAGCTTACATAGACGCAAATTAAGGAAAAATATAATTGCATGTCAAAGAAACGGTATATTATATAATTTTCGCCTACATAATATATGAATGATTATGTTGACAGTTGAAAGCTAAGATATCAATTTTGCTATATTATGTAGGTAAAACATTGCAAACTGACTCTTGGTCTAGTGCGATTGCTGAACATGAGGTCCCGGGTTCGAATCCCGGGTCGGGCCAAAACCAGTTATTGGGATTTTCTGTCAAGAAATTCTTAGTAGCAGCACAGAATAAATTTAAGAAGTTGAAGAAGTTGGTCGTGTTTCATTCTCGTGCCTCGGAAAAAACGTTAAGCCGTCGGTCCTGCACCTGATCTCTCTCCGGTCGGGGACCGTTCTATCGGACTACGAGAGTGAGGGAATAGAGAGTGCACCTGTGCTTGCGCATACACTTTGACACTATAATCCTGTCCTGCGTTGAAGGCTAGTCTCCGTTGCGACTGGCCACCGTGACCGAAATTCGGTCTAAAGGACATTAAAACGAAGCGATTAAATATACTTTTCTACCGACTCCAAAAATGAGGAGGTGCTCAATTCAGCTGTATGTTTTTTTTATGTGTGTTATCTCATTACTTTTTTCTGGGTGAACCGATTTCAGTGATTCTTTTTTTATTTGAAAGCTGGTGCTTTTCATGTGGTCCCGGTATTCCCGGTCGGAATTTGATCAAGGTCTGACCTAGTTTATGAATTATATAAAAGTAATAATTTATATAAAAGTAGTTTGTACAAAATTTTTAATTATAAATTATTGATATTAGCGTTTATGTTAAAAATACTAACCACTATAGTGAAAATATTATGTAGGTAGGTATGTGATGTATTGTTTGTATTTGTTTATTTCTGCAGGTTACGATCATTGAACGATAAAAAAAAGTTATTTATTGATATGTTCCTTTCTGTCATTATAAGGTAAGATAAGATATACCTTGTTAAACAACGTTTCAAATTTTATTTGTATTAAAGTTTTCATTTTCCTGTCCTACGTAATATCCTGTATTGTTTTTGACTTAATTATTCAATACCAAGTGATGTTAATTATGTGATAAAATCGGTGAGCATTTCTTTCGTAGCAATATTGAAGTGAAACATTCTGAACCCGTTCTTAAGCCGTATATAAACTGATAATAAATTGAGTATCTTATTGTTTTAAATATTAAATTAAAAAAAAATAAAGATAGTGGGATTGGGAGCGTTCTACTGTCGCTGATTAATAATTATATAAATGGATGTTACAGATTTTTGACCTCAAAATCAAATATTACTTAATAATTTCGCATATAATTCAAACGCTACGATTTTATATCTTTTTATGCAATCGCATATGCAAAATATTTTTGTAGATCCGCCTCTACTTGTATTTTAAGAAGTTACGTAAAAGTAAAATGTATTTTTCTGGACGATGTACATTTTCATTGGACCTTGCTCTTTTTTGTAAGTTTTTTTTTTAATTTTCAACTTAAACGTTAAAGGGACAAATGATAATGTATTTATAATTTGCACAAATCTCATTTTAATTTCAATGGAGTTTATTGTTGTTAAGCTTTGTTGAATGTCAAGTGCTGTCCTCTTTTAAACGAGGTGTCGATACGATCCCACTATGAAAAGTGAAAAAAGTTAAAGTTACAGCCTATATGCGTCCCAATTCTGGGCACATGCCTCCCCTCATTTCTGAGAGGGTTTAAGAACAAGGAAATGTCCGCCGCACTGCTCCAATGCGTGTTGGTGCACTTCACATGTCTTTAAATTTTTGTTTCTTATATCTCAGACATGCAGGTTTCCCCACGATGTTTTCTTTCACCGCCGAGCAAGTGGTAATGCCGACGGGGACCGAACCCAGGTTGCTCGCGTACTGTGTAACTTACAGCGAGCGCTTAGCCCCTGTAACTACAAGCTACCACGGCTCTAAACATGAAAGTTGTTAATTGTTTCGTTTCATGTGTTCCTTAGGAATGCCGCTTTGCCTTAAATTGTGCAGAATCAATGTTCTTAATAAAATCAGCAATGGTGGTTCTCAGGGACGATTTTTTAACACATCTTTTAAAATTTAAGAACCTTTAATATGATGTTTGGGAAGTTATTATTATAAAATAACGTGCATGGCGGCCTTTATTGCCAGTAATGGAATATAAAATTCTCCACAGGTTATTGTATCAACAAAATGGAGAAGAACTAGCTAGTTTAAAATGTTTGTGTTGACATGTTTTTATTTATTTTTTATTTTACAACTTTCGGTTGAGTTTGCTCAAGAATTGAATTTGCATTCTTGTCACATGTGACCCAAAATTGAGTTTGTTGATACAAAACCATAAATTTGCACAAGACTGTGCGAAACATCGTGTCGTGAGTAAACGATTACAAATTCATTTTATGTTTTTGTGACGCAATTTTTTTGTAGTTTTTTTTTTGAAAAAAAAAAAAACCTTATTTGGATTTGGTTCTTTCGCAACTATATTCATAGTTTTGTTCTGAAATGATTATATAAGATGCATTAAAAATTATATTGTAGAAAAGGAAAATAATCTTTTCAACCTTGTTTTATCTTTTTTTAAATGGAATTTTCATGTGGAAACACAAGCATTTAACGAACGAATTTGAACGGGTAGAGCAACGCTGCAGCAAATTATAGCGATTGATGAAAATTGTGAGTGACAAGAAACGGAGGCCCTATTTACTGGTAACGAGTCATTTCATTTTAGTCCTCATGGGTGACAACAAATATGCCTTTCGATTGTTAATCTAAACTAAATGTAGGTGTCTATGCGCCGCAACATTCAGTTGGCATGAGTGGGGATGATTTCTCGTTGGTTACGCTCAGCACAATAAAATTAAGTAAATCTAAAGTTAGTTTATCTATACAAATAAATAAAATTGAAGTGTTTGTAATGTCAAAATAACAGCTTTTTACTAAATCCATATGAAAGTATATACGGTACTAATAACAAAAATACAATATTTAAAGATTTTGTCTGTCTGTCTGTTTGTTCCGGCTTATTTCCGAAATGGCTGGACCATTTTTACGGGACTTTTACTGGTAAATAGCTCATGTAAATTAATAATGTAAAATATAAGGAGTAACTACTTAGGTTACATTTATTTTAGAAAAAGAATTAGGCTTCCGCGCAAAAAATTTTAAATCCATAAAATCCAATCGTAATAAATTCCACGCGGAGGAAGTCGCGGGGAACAGCTAGTCTTACATATAAATACGAAATATTTACATAGTACCATACTATCACTTTTTTTTCGCGTTAAGGTCACTTAGCGTATACTCAGTTAGTGAGATGCCATTAATAGAACTGGATGGGTGCTCACTCTCGCTGTCCAAATGCCGTTAGCTCATTGTCGGCACATCTGCGTAGCGGCAACACATGCTCCACTCCCGATAACGTTCTAAAAATATAAACGACGCTAATTCATTCGCCACTCACGCCTCCCGTGGAATGCCCACGAACGCTAAGCATACAACCGCTTCCTTCACTTCCTCTTAGTCAATGGAATTACGAACGCGTTGTGAACGCGTCGGACGTCGTATTACGCGTATCTCGAAATTGATTGAGCACTCCAATTTGTACGAGGTCATCGACCGCTTTCTCTGTCGCGCTTTTTTATATTATGCTTTCGTAAATCTTATGTCACAAAGTTTGCTCCACTCACAGCTGTGAGATGGACGCGACGCATACAAATATTGCATATTGTAGTCTACGCTAGATTTACAAATGTAACTGTTTATTTGTGTTAGTATTCTCGAAGCAATAATCTAAAACGCTCTGTCTTATAAGGAAATGGTTTGTAATTCATTCGCTGTGTACGAATTTGGCATCGGTGTTAGCCTTTTGTAAAGTCTTTAGGAATGAAATTCCGTTCCATACGCGGACGTTTCAGTTATAAAGTGGCAAATGTCGCGTTGAACGTGAAGTCCATTACATTACAATTCGTTCTCGTAAACCTTATGTGCGCGTCGATTTGCTTAAATTTGCGACTATGAGTCTACATATTTAGCAATACACATATATGTATATGTACAAATATCAAATATCAGCTTAATGCTGGTATGTTTTACGTATTTTTTTATAGGATAAGGTTGACAAACGAGCACACAGTCCACCTGATGGTAAGTGGTTGCTGCGGCCCATAGACATCTGCATATATCCTCTATTACAAATCAAAATGTAGATGCGTTGTCACCCGTGAGGACTAAGATGGAATGCCTCATTTCTAGTAAAAAGGACCTCCGGCCACCTGCACTCACCAAGCGAAACACGGAGGTAAACCTTTACTTCACGCTGGTTTTCTGTGAGGTCGTGGTACCACCCCGGTTCGAGCTGGCCCATCCAGACACGCGGCAGCAAAAGCTGCCGCGTGGCTCTACCACATCTAAAAGTATGGTGAGTGTAGAGAACCGGAGACCCTTTTTACTGGAAACGACGCATTCAATCGTAGTCCTTAAGTGGTGACAACACATCTGCATTTTGATTCTTAATCGAAGATAAATGTAGATGTCTATGGGCCACAGCATTAGGTGGACTGTGTGCTCGTTTGGCACCCCAATTATATAAAATAAAAATAAATAAATATGTACATACGAGTACAAGAGTAGCGGCCGCGTGTAGTCGGCCGGAGAAATTTAACTTTAAAAAATCTTTTTTTTGTTTACGCGTATCGTTTCGTTAGTTGTTTTGGTTACGGTTCAGCTGCGTAATCGAGGTGATCCTTATTAGAATGGTATGCGGGCGGTGTGTCTGTTTTCTTGCGTAAAGAAGTAAGCAGTTCGCTGCGCGTTTGCTTCGAGGTAGGACGTGCGCTCATTAACTCGGTGGATACACTGCTCGTCAGTACGCCGCTAGTGTCGAGTGCTATAGCCATGGTCGTGTGAAAAACATTAATTGTGTTACGTGTTTCGTGTGTTTAGAGCTCGTGATCGTACTCCGCATTACCTTGTATAAGAGCAAATGGTTCGGAAAATTGTTGTCGTTGGTTTACGTTATTACGAGGACCCTTTTTACAAGTGCGCTAAGTGAGTGGTCTATACACGATTAATGATTATACAAAACGTACGATCGTCTGCAATGTTTATTCCAGAAGAAAGTTTTCCTTAAAATCTGTGTTCTTTGTTCACAGACATGTGACGGGCTCGAGCGGGCCCCCGGCGGGATGCGGCCACCAGAGGAACCGCTCCCTGGACTCTGTTCTCCAGAGGATACCGGAGGATATGACGCCGACTTCGCCCGAGGGTGCGCCGCTTCGTATGCCTATTGAACCGTCCGCGCCAAGACTCGCCTTGCCACCAGAAGTCCCAGCGGGTTCCGATGACTCGGGCATTCACACACCGCCTGATTTCAATGATGAAGAGAGACCCCAACCTCGGGCTGCCGCCCGATCGCGGGAAAGTCTTGACTCCGGCAATCCAGAAGAAACGGAAAAGCCACCTGATCCGCCCGATACGATAGGACCGCCCATCACAACCGATATATCGTCCGCCGAATCCTCCAAACACAAAGACTTCTTACTAAGGCTCTTCGAGAGTAACCTGTTTGATATGAGTATGGCAATCTCGTATCTTTTTACCTCCAAAGAATCGGGCGTGCAGACCTACCTGGCTAATAAACTATTCTCATTTCCACACGAGGACGTGGACTTCTATTTGCCACAACTTGCGACGATGTATATAGAGATGGGTGACGTCGCAGACCTTCTTCGGCCGTATCTAGTTTACAGGTGCAAACAGAGCGCTGAATTTTCTTTACGCCTCGTGTGGTTGTTGACGGCATTTGGAGGTGAATCAAAGAGATCTAAAGCGATCAAGTTACGAGATTCGATTCTTGCTGAAGAGATAAGACCAGCGGCGAGGCGAGGTCATCACAGATCGCAGTCTGACGCGTCTGCCCTAAGGATTGCAACGCCTTCTGGGAGGCATTTAGGTGACTTGGCGTCTGGAAGGGCTTTCGATAACGGCTGCCTCTGTGGGGAACAGTGTTCCTGCGGAGCGCCTAGATTAGCACCACAGATACAGGTTAGTCTTATCTTTACTATGGTTAGGAATATACATTTTACTGTTTTAAACCAGTGCTTGACAACTATCCCACCTGATGGTAAATGTTGATGTAGCCGAAGATTTATTTATTTAAAAAAATCATCAAGATAAAAAATGTATTATGTTTTTGCAATGTAGTCAAGGTAGGTGACAACCACCTCAGCGTTTAATTACATGCATTTATACCTCTACCGTAGGGAGTCTACTCTTGCTATTAATTTTGTAATAAGTTGTTATTATATTACAAATAATAGATATTTATTATATTATAACAAATAGGTTTTCCCAGGGATAGTCGCATCTAAATTTAAAGAAAAAAATTAAGTATTTAATGTAACTATTCAGGCGACATTGAGATTGTAATTTTCCTCAGTCCGTTCCAAAGAGTAAAGAAATAACTGTGAAAAAAAAGTAAAAATCAACTTCAAAGAAATAAGAAGAATAAAGTAATTTTACATTCAGAAGTCGCGGCGATAATTCTTCTACGAGTACCTATGTTAGTGTGTGTAGTGGCTTAGCACCGACTAGAGCATGAAATTATTTTAATTATTTTGAATTCTGCTTTCACTTTGTTAAAAGTTATTTTTTCTAAAAAGATATTTTTGTGTTTAGAAATGCAAAGTGAAGTCCGATCTAAAACGGCATGAACTAAAACTGTATTTTTTTTTACAAACAATTTCAATATCTAACTATTTCAGACATTATCTTACATTGTATTTGTCCGTAATAGTTGAGTAGTTTTTGTTTCGTACTGCGAAAACAATTCATCATATTTTATATTTTTTGTATTGTCTGGTAGCTTTTAGTTTCGAGGTTTTTCCATCATTGAAAGCCGCGCTAAATCTCAGTAATGATTGATGACTCCAGTTTCACAAAGCAAAACCTAGATTTGTAAAGTGTTTAAAATCATATTTGAGCCTTTTACCTGAGATCTTGATTAAGAAACATTTAGCTAAAAAAAAAGAACTTCGAAACAATACTATAATAACTCATTATCTCTGACAATATCTGACACATATATGACAATATTTATATAAATGTTGACTGTTATGTCTCGATAGTTTGTTCCATTTCAGTCTTCCTTATGATGAAGGCTAATTATAGTGAAAAAACACGAATTAAATTGCTTTAATCTCTTTAAAAGGTAAATACATATTAATATCCTCAATACTTATAAATCCAGTAAAGCCGGCAATGTACCAAGCAAACGTGATAAACATACAAATCTGAGTATAAATGAATGTCCGTAAATGCGTCGCCGCTATCGGAGTTCGGAGTAATATGGATTTCCGGTACTTAGTGACAAATCGTGGAGCATCATTTGCTTTTATGCTCAGTTGTTTTGATTACTAGCTTATATTTGCTTTTTATTTATATTTATTGCCGCTAACCAACAATATATACATTTATTACACATCGTGGTAGTTACAGCATTTCTAATCTATATTTAAAAATAAATTGTCTCATTTATATGATACCACAGCATAAATTGTAGAAGATATGTATATAATATGTCGATAAACAAATTTTAATAAAATATAATAAAATTACAGCCTATACATGTCCCACTGCTAGACACATTTCTTCCAAATATCTTTTTAATTTTTTAAACATACAGGTTTCCTCACGATATTTCGCTTCGCCGCCAATTACGTGGTAAATCAACACTTGTCGGGTTGCTCGCGTATTGTGAAATTTACAGCGAGCGCTTAGACCCTGAACTACCACAGCTCCAATAAAAATATATTAATACAAAAATAAAATAATTATAGTGAACATGTGTACATATATATAACATAATACGAATCGTGATTAAAAATAAAATAAAAACTTGGGAATGTACGTTCTTTTCATTATGGGAGTTAAAGGTTGTATTTCTTTTGGCGTGGGAGCTATATCGAAGTTGAATAATTCTGTTAAAAATGGAGTGATGGCCCAGATTACTGAGCTCACCACTAAAGGTGAATATTTTGATGACCTAGGTGTTTTTGTTGTTATATTCAAACTGATTTTCCGTATAAAGCATAGACAATTTATTTCCGGTTTAACTGGTTTGAGCATAAAAATAAAATTAAGTAAGTTCTTATATTCTTTAAGTTTTTTTGTTTAAATAAATTAAATTTAATGATGATAATATGTTTCTGGTTTCTTCGACACGTGTAAAGGTTCTTTACCTTTTTCTCAGGTCTATCATAATATTTAAAGTAAGAAAATGTAAACCATACGATCGACTACTGGGCACAGGCCCTCTATAAGTTCTAAGACCTTTATTTACCAGGAAATAATTCGACGCGCTTATCCAGTGCACTGGTGAACTTGTGGCCTATTTTTTATCTGCTACATTTGTATATTTAAATTAGTTGATTCATGATGTACATTAGTTTCAAACCGTTGGTTAAAAGTTAACAGTCCGTTTGTGTAATGACAATAACTCAATGGAGTTATAATGTACTACTTACTAGAGGAGACGCTCGACTCGATTGTTTGTAACATTAGTTAGAGCGACTATTGTATATAACATTAGTTAGATCTGGAACGTGAGGCGTTTGAGTGGAGAAATTTTCAAAATTAATTATGCCTTCATAAGCATTGAGATACTGTTCAAACAACTCGAGAAACATAAGTAAAAGTCAAGGAGTGACTTTTCACCAGTAAGTTCAACTTATTAGTATCTTTAAAATACGCTTAATTTAATTATATTTTATCAACTGCAACGAATACGTGAATGTCAAAGATTAAAACATTTTTATGCGCAGACTTGACACTATCGACGTATAATGCTAAGTAAATAGGACCAGTAAAATATTAATATATAATCACGGTAGGAAATGTTAATGCATTAAAATTAATATTTTCTCGGCCGTGTCATGAAACAAAAGAATAATGGATCAAATTTGTTTAGTGGAATTGCACCGTCAGATTATTCAAGTATATGTTCCGTGCATTTAAAAGAAAACGACAAATACGCCACAAAAACAGGAAGAGTGTACTTAAAGAAATTTGCATTACCATCAACATCATCATCATCATTATTATAGCCCTTCACTGCTGAACATAGGCCTCCCCAAAAAATGCCACAAAGCACGGTCCCGAGCCACGTGCTTCCATTCACTTCTTGCTTGTCTTACCAGCTCGTCACTCCATCTAGTGAGGGGACGCCCTACATTTCGTCCGCCGGTACGAGGCTGAAAGTCGAGAACCTTCCTTCCCCATCGGTTGTCGATTCTTCGAGCTATATGGCCGGCCCATTGCCACTTCACCATACTGATTCTTTGGGCTATGTCGGTTACTCTGGTTCTACTGCGGATATATGATAACCTAATTATATTATTTATATATACGAACGAGTTTTTGTAATGTTTAGTATATTTACGAGACTTAAGAGAGGCGGCCCGCGAGTCATACTAGTATAATATGGTGGTTTTTTAATACTGTAACGCTAGAATTTTTACAGGCTTCCCAAATGACTAGCATCTTTTTTTCAGCCAACAAAATGTGGTGAACAGGAAGTAGGTAATCAGGACTGTTGTCTGAATCAGTAAGCAGTTCAAATTCAATGTTTGATAGTCCGAGACAAATTGTACTTAAAATAACTTACGCAAGTGATGTGTCCTAAGCCTAATTCGAGTGATATAGACGAAGCCTAATCTTTTAAATATAGTTCTACGGAATAACCTTAGTAACGTAACGAATAATTCTTTGTCATTATAAAAATAATAAATTATGACCACGTTGTAATATTTTGTTTTTTATTTAACAGCAAGGAATCTGCAGCTAAAAAGAAACTTACTGAGAAATTTAAGAAAATACAAAGACAAAATACTTATCTAAAGAAAAAATGTGCTTCTTACAAATCAATTGTACAAAATTTTAAACATAAATTCGGTCTCAACCTATATGCTGAGATTGATTTAATGGCTAAAGCAGAATTTGTGGAGTTACATAAATCTTTAATGAAAAAGAATAAACAATGCACGCATTATTTATTTATTATATAATGCATGTACCTTTACGTAAATTCGCATTGACTTTCCACTATTGTTCACCAGCTACGTATAAATACGTTAGAGAATGCTAGAAAAGTATATATATAATATATTATAATAATGATCTTCGTTATTAAATGTATATTTTTATATTTTACATGTTTACTTTTTAAAATATGAAATAAAATATCATTAAAATTTAATTCTGACATAATATTATATTATATTAAATTAACACATATGCAAAATAAATAACAATTAAAAAAATTGTACTCGATATAATTAACAATACAATTAAAATAAACAATTACTTATTACATGACATTACATTACTGATGATTCTACCTACGTATAATCTATGATGACAAAAACTGCGCATGCGCGACTCTGCTATCTCTCGCGCATGCGTGAAGACATAGAGTAGATTACATTTTATGTTTCGAATAGCTTTTCTAGTACGTAGTGCATTATAACTCAATGGTTTGTGTGAATTTCTCCAATTTTAATATAAGTAAAAGCTTCTAGAGAAAATATTATGATAGAACAAACCTGCTAACGATTTCCTGTGTATATAGAGTTTAAACATATGTACTTACTTAGGTTTTTGACGTTGTTGCCTATGTATAGTTTTATATTGAATACAAAGATTATTGCAAACGACTTTACTTTTCCTAATATAACAAACTAGCTTGATACACGATCGCTTCGCTGGGCGCACGGTATTATTGCGGAACCTAGATGTAAAATATGAAGAAATTTTTATGATGGAACTTTCGTAAAATCCGTTCTTACTGAGTGTCTCTGCAAAATGAGTAACTTTTTTTTCCTTTTTTTTTAAAACCACTTTATTTTCATGTCAATCGGGTGTATAGTTTTAGAGATCTCGTGATGAGTCAGCCAGTCAGTGGTATTTCGCTTATATATAATGTTATATAGATTACATTTCGTTACTTTCGTATTTCATTGACTTCTGTTCCGAACCGACGTAATAAA